TAATGTTCGCCTTATTCTCTTACTTTTGACAAATCTTAAGAAAAACCTAATTTATATACACTATGTATAAATACTTACAAAAGTTCCATGTAACACGTAATCCTGTTGATGGGTTTCCAATCGAGTAAGAACCATGGAGGCCGGTGCTAAGATGTGCATGATGCGATGCCTGCTATAAGCTGTCGAAGGTGGGTTGTGCTATATCATGTACAAGGAAAATGAAAACGGTCCGATCAGCTGCTTTTTGGCTGAGTGGTTAGTATACTTGCTTTCTGCTTGTTACGTTGATGGTTTTGCACTGCTGATGAGACCTAACTAGGTCCAAACGGCTATTCAGTGTTTCCTAGCTTCTCATGCTACGTTTCATTTGTTCTTTACACGACGAAATCCGAAATATGAACATAACAAATCCTCCATTTCTCTCGTGTAAAAGCATTTAATGGAATCAATAACGCAAGGTCCCTGATTAACATATCTCTCCTTTAAATTTTCATATCTAAGGCAAAACTTTCAATGATCTCTGCAAATAAATATGCAAATCATTTCCCTGATCAGTTCTGTTTTCAATTATGTGGTGTCGTCATGGTATCATTATTTTGGCATTATTGCTATTTTGTAGCACTATTTATCGTATGTATCTTCTCCCTTGTGTTCATCAACATGCGTCATTCAACATTATCAGCCTCATTTTACAGAGATATAGTGCGATCAAAAGGGATATTGTAGGATTCAAGTTGATTTTGCTATAAATCTTGTAGTTTGCAGAACAAATGGCACGTGAACTGAAAGGCTCAGAAGCTCTGCACGGTTCTTTGGTGGGATCTTGTTTGGTAGGATCAGCAGTACGAAACCGTCAAAGCCTGAGCCTGCAGAGAGAACAGAAGCATAGTACTCACTTCACCACCAGCATCTGGTGAGGCCCAGTCCGGTCGGAATAATTCTGCGGTGTCTGGAAGCTATTTACTTTACGTTTACCTTGCTCTGTGTACGACAGACGTCGTCAGGTGTAAATTATTGTTGATTCCCAACCAATTTATAAACAACCAGAGAAACTCTATAATGCAAAATGCTTGCATTCTGGCTACAGCCTATCCTAGGCTAAAACTAATGAGTAGTTCGTCTGGAATACTATTAGTGAACAATAATGAGTATTAGAAGCTGCAACATCACTTCGAGTGGCTTTTCACAGCAGCTAGCTAAATTTCGTTCTTTTTGTGAGTAGAAAACAATGGTCCACACGATAAACACCGCCAGCTGTGTTCTTTTTCAATGGTAAACTTATTCATGAGACGTTAACATGAATTGATCAATGGTGGCTAAAAACGGGCGAAGCCGGTAGAAATATGAATTATGGATTTTCAATCTTACTTTTTGTTTTTCCTAGAATTTATCTCAATGAACGACTCACCATTTTTATTGATTACTTGTTCCATCACAATCATCACACAGAGAACCATTTGGAAAAATAAGTTAGTAACTTTCTGACCGCTTTTCTCTTTTCTGTTTAATAATTTAATCAGAACATTTCATCGGTGTTCCCTTGACCAAATCCTTACCGACCTTAAATCATAACACACATCTGAATAGCTTTGAACTGTGCACAATTTGTCCGCAATGGGACACGTGTGATAGTTTAAACACCGTTTCCCTATCCCTTCAAATACTGCCTCACTCCGTGTGAATTCCTGTCCTTTTGTACTTCAGAGTGCCAGATTTATCTGGTATCAAATACTTATTTCCCTTATTTTTATTTGGCATGACTACGAATCAATGAAAATGAGGCTGTTCGCCACTCTTTGTTTTATTTCCCCTAATTCAATAAAGTAAAAGAAAGAAATATTCCTTTTATCTCCGTACTCTTCCAATTGTGTCACGGATTCGCTGTACAGTTAATTTAGCACTTCTTTTTATGTTACGAAAGCTGCAGTAATAAACAATGCGTGAATGATGACTTTATGGCAAGTTCATCGGCGGCTGCCATGAGTTCAAAGATCTAGTGCTATTATTCAGGGTTGTTTGGCATAAGCTTGTTTTTCCTCCCCACATCGTCAGACATATACAACTATTAATGTAACTTCATAAATGATAAGTAATACGGTTAACTGGTTAATAAATAAAGCTTTCGAAGACGTCCATGGCGAGATAGGAGAGGTTGAAGTGCGCTCATTCATTGACATAAATTGGACAAGTCATATAGGTAGAACAATGAAACGGTGCTCAGTAAGGATCTACGCGCATAAACTGGTTCGAGCAGGGAACAAGAAATAGAAAGTGCAACTATGTTCCACTGCCCAGAATCTGGCTTCCAGGCAGCAAGGCTACCAGAAGTAGCCGCAATCGACTTCGTGTACCAGA